TGCGAGTGTCCCAGACGTGCACATTGGTGTTGGAGGCCGTGGCCACGATTGAGCCCACCGTACGGTTCCATTGAACCACATTCACCGAGTCATTGGTTCCGCTCACACTTAGGTTCAGACTTCTCTCAGCCTTCCCGCCGCTGTCGATATCCCAGACACCGACCGACCCGTCATCACATCCCGTCGCCACTGAATGCTCTTCTTTGGGATTCAATGCAATACACGTCACACTCGATGTCTGCGCTTCCGTTTCGTATTTCAGTTCAATCTCATCGGCGGTCACGTCAAAGAACTTTGTAAATGAAATCAATGTTTAACAGTAAGTGAATGATTGGCAATAAGTCTAACTCTGATGACAAACCTGTAAAGTCTTGAGTTGAGTGCCGCCGATGAGGGCGTATGGATGCCATTGAAGGCAATTGAATGTATTGGTCACCACTTTGGATGACTTCAATCGCGGCTCTTCACTGCATTCTTCGGCATTCAGATCAAAGATCTCAAGTTTGCTGTCATTGCTGGCAATGAACCAAACAATTAATTGTCATATTTTGCATCATTTCATAGAATTTATAAAAGAGATTAATTGCCACAACAATAATCACTGTCTGTCACCGCATGAAGACAATGAAAGTGAAAGCAATGGATGAGTTATACCTGAAGTTTGTGTCAAACTGTTGGGAAGTGGTTCCGATGGCAACACTCCTCTGTTGTCGTGTTGGACACCAGCAGAACACACCATTCCTCTTGATTTCCTTGAATTTCATGTTTGCCACCAATTGATCAGAAAATGTATTGACTGGCAATGGATTGGTGTTGTGTTGGAGGACTGGATGTGTTTGAGCAGTGATGTAGTGATGCCCTCCAGCGTGGCATTGATAGCACTGATGGCACATTCACTCACTCTCACAACAGCTGATGGCTTGTCATCACTACTCCAACACTCAGGCAATCGTTTCGTTCAATATTCATAACTTTGAATTGCTTTCAAACAACAAAATATGATTTATAGGCAAATCACACACACCTCCACTCAATCTATTAATAATACTAGTAGTAGTCTAATTGGGGGTTAGGAGGTGTGGGCTTATACTGTATATCAATTTATATCGATATTTTAGAAAGTAGTGTATGTTTTAAGTTAACAGTCAAACTTTTAACCAATGTAAATTTCAAATTGCAATACTTAAGTATAATTTATAATTAGCACACAAATTATTTACTATAACTAGACTAACATAACGTGATTAATTATAACACAATTTAATAGTCATTCAATTTGTTTTGCCATAAAATTCAAAATATATTATTATGTAATTATAATTTTATTGAAATCTAAAATAGAGTACAGAATTGACTACAGTATGAATACAGTATATATTTAAGAATATATTTGCAAACAAAACAAATCATGAAATGAGTGTTAAATAAAGGCTAACATGTGATATAAATTCAATACAATCTGAAGGGAAACTCAAAGAGACGTCTGAGGAATGAATTCGGCGGCGAATAGTTGTCGAGCCGGTGCTGACCCTCCACTTCATTGCCATCAATACTCTCCATCCGTTTGAACTCTGCTTTGAATTGATTTAAATCCTCTGGAAATGCATTCAAATTATCAAAATGTCATCACATTTGAAATGATTATAATTGATACCCTGATCCAAATTGTTGATCACTTCATTGGTTTCGATAATTTCATTGTTTTTATCCCTTTTGATGACTTCAGTGACAAACTTATCGCCAATTCTTCGAGTGATTGACGTCTCGCTGTTTCCGAAGCCGTCTTCACATCTCTTCTGCTCTTCGATTCTCTAATCAATGAAAGCATTCATTAATGAAATAAACTCTTAAAACACTAATAATAAGCAAATACTCCGTTATTATTGACAGAACTGTAGACATAAACTCTGGTCAAAGAGTTGGTCTGCGGAGGACTGCGGCGCTCACGAGTGGACGAGTTTAGTATGACATCCAGACCATTGCGACCCACACTCTGATCCAAGTCTGTGTCCAATGCCGGCTTGTCTTCACTGGACTTCATCATCAAATCCCTGGCATTCTTCGACTCTTGGCTTTCAATGGATGGCCACTCATTGGGTCCATTGATGACTGAAAATCGGTTCAACATTTGTGTCATAAATGAAGACATTTCGACAAATTGACGGTTCATTTGAGAGTCAATATCATTGAATGGATTGTCTTTAGGCTCATCATTGAAAGGGGGACTCAAGTGACCATTGAATGGATGTTTGTTTTGGTGATCACCGAACAGTGCGTCCAATATATCTTTGAGTGACATTTTGGTGGTATTTGTCAAGTGATTGAGTGATTGAGTGATAGATTAGTTGGCGATTGGATGAGA